AGGGTGCTAACACCTTCCCTTTCTATAAATCTACCTCCCGAACCGAGAAAAGTTCTCATAAGGAATTTTGCTGTGCTTTTGTCCTTTCCATGTTGGAGAAAATAAAATACGGTGGCGACTCTTGCTTACCGCGACATTTCGCGATCCAGCTTTAAACAGTCAGTTCTATTTCCACCGATCACACATAACATCAAGAAAATGTATTACATACAACGACTTTCAATATGGAAGTTCAAAAAAAATTGGCCTCTTCTTCCACCCACTCTTGACAAGTGTATGTGCAAAAGGCTTGCCAAACTGAGTACTCACATCTTTTACCTTTTCAAAAATTTGGCCACCTGTCAATATAGGTGGAGCTCTACGTTTTTCTTCCTTTCCATTGAATGATTTTCTCCACCCACGGTAGTGATGATTAGAATTTAAGAATCTACGATGACCAAGAAAGACATTCTTCTAACAAAGGTCCAGTCGCGTCGTATCAGTTTCATCTTCACAAACAGGACACACTTTTTGACCTTTAATGATGTACCCTGATATATTTCCGTATGCTAGAAAATCATTAATTGTTCCAAACAACATCACCCTTAAGTTGAAACTTTCTTTCCTATACCCATCATAAACCTTCACACCGTTCTCCCACAAAAACATTAAATATTCGATTAAGGGTGTTAAGTATACATCTATGTCATTCCCTGGTTGTTTAGGCCCAGAAATTACCATAGATAACATCATGTACTTACGCTTCATACATAGCCACGGAGGTAGGTTATAAATCATAATAGTCACAGGCCATATGCTATGCGAGATGCTTTGAATACCGTATGGGTTCATTCCATCAGTAGATAATGCCAAGCGAAGGTTTCTTGCTTCTTTTCCAAATTCAGGATACTCATTATCAATTTTCATCCACTGCGGTGAATCTACCAGATGTCGAAGCTTTCCATCAATAATTCTTTCATCTGCATGCCAAGTCAGGTGTCTTGAATCGGTTTCACTATGATATATTCGTCTAAATCTCAGAATTATAGGAAAATACCATAAGACTTTTGCTGGAGACAACTTTTTCTTATATCGAGAGACACCGCATTTAGGACACTCATTTAACGATGCATAATCGTTTCGAAACAAAACGCAATCATTTGGACATGCGTGTATCTTATCATAGCTCATGCCAATAGAGCACAACATCTTTTTGGCCTCATATGTTCGACTGGGAAGAAGATTATCCTCTGGTAGCATATCTTTCATAAGGGCTAATAACTCTGAAACTTTTATCTGACCATCCATTGCGCGCCTTTAAGTTGTACAACTTTAATAACACAGACAATCTTGTGAATTTTATACAACCATTATACAATGGTTTCTCTTCATCGCTTACCAACCTCTCAAATATTTTGGGACAATCCTTAAGGTCTTCTTCAAGTGCTTCTGCAATCTCTTCGACTCGATCATAATCGTATGTATCTGTGCCATTATCGTTTGAATCATGGGTCATATTATCCCCCGATTCAACATTCTCGTTACTTTTCTAACCATGCAAATTACAACATGTATAACTTCTATCAATTCCATGCCTCTTTAAATGGGATGCCAACTGAACCGCGTTAACCCGACTGCCATAGTAGCAACTCAAGCAAGGACATGTCATTCTCCTGGGGCCTTTGGCGTGCGCCACAGCAAACTTAACGAATTATGATACCCCATTCTCGTACTCTTTCGTCAATCGACTCGAAGACGTCCATTTCTTATCCATGGTATTACTAATTAAGCTAAGCAAAAACAAAATATGAAAAATTTACCTGTAGGGAAACGATCTGAATTTCACACTTTGATCTCAAGGAACCCCTATATATAGCAAATTCAGTAAGTTAGTTCCCAATCAATGCAAGCAATGCTCATCCATCATAGCAGTTCATTCAAATGGTTTTACTAATTAAGCTAAACAAAAACGTTAATTATTCACACAACTATAGCAAAAGAACAACTAGTTAAATACATGTTATGTAGCCTTTTATTATTTGTTAGTTTACTAGTGAAAAACAATTATTTTGACCTGGAAACCATGCTGATAACACACTATTGATCTAGAAACATGGAAATAGTCGGATCACACAATATTGATCTAGAAACCGGGAACCAGCCTCTCATTACCACTCGGGCATTCTCTTGTGGAGCTCATAATATTTGTTCAAAAGCCTATACCATAAATTAAAGCTAGCAAGGGAGAGAAAAAAAATAGGTAATGGTCAATGCAACACTTCATACCAACTATAAAAATTCCTAAAATTACTTACATATTGAAATGAACATTAAGTAACTAATGCTTATAGACTAAATTGTAAAATCTAAAGGTAATTTGTGAGCAAATTAATCAAGTTATAACATTTTTTTTTTGCAAGAAACTACACAAATACCTGTCAATATATTTACATCACTACAAGAAAAAACAAAATCAGCCAGGGGATAATCCCCTCACAAATAGAAAAAACCCCTCACAAATACAAAAATTGTGAGGGGACTGGTCCCCTAGCAAAACACAGGGTCGCAAATTTATTTGCGAGGGGCTTTCCACGTCGCAATTTTGCTTCGGGCTAACCCCCTCGCAAAATGCAATCAAAATTTTCAGACATTTTGCTTGGGGCTAACCCCCTCGCAAAATACAATGTTTTCCATTAGCTAGGGGTTAAGCCCCTGGCAAAATGAAAAAAAAAATTATAAAAAAAATAAAATATTAATAGAATAAATATATATTAACATTAACAGAAAAAAATATTATAACTATAATTAATATAATTAAAACTATTTCATTATATTATTTTTCTAAAATATCAATAGTGTTTTCATGATAATATATTTATTGCCTTACTATTTTTTAAAGTATTATAACTAAAAAATTCATTTTACATACTACTGTGTTTTATAAATATTTTTAACTAGTTTCTAGCATACTTATCATTATAAATAAATAATTTTTAATCAACAAATATTTATGCAAACATCACTCATAATCATTATAATAACAAATATTAACAAACATCACCTATTTAACAACACTCATTTACGACTATAATAACAAACAACACCCATTTACAACTATATAAGTAGATTTAAGAAAAATTAAACAAAATATATATACCTTTGATGAACACCCAATTTGGATTTAAATTCTTTGATTGTCTTCAATGATAAAAATATATCTAAAAACATAAAACAAAAACTAAATATTAGAAAGAAAAAACATAAATTAAATATTATATAAAATATAATTTAAAAGAACAATACCTTTAATAATTAATAAAAATGAGAGATGAATGTAGAAGAAGGTGGGAATATGAGAGAAAGAAAGAGAAGAAAGAAATAGAGAAAAGAAAGAGAGAAAAGAAAGAGAAGAAGAGACACGAATGAATCTGGGAAAATAGGGATTTTTTAAATAGGACAATTAGTGAGGGGGTAGCCCCCGAAAAAATGTTAGTTATATTTTGTAAGGGGGTAGCCCCTCGCAAAATGTAGAGCGGTAAAATTTTCAAAATTCAAAAATCCCTCCAATTTTATTTGCGAGGGGTAGCCCATCATCATTTAAAAAAAAATTCTTCGATTTTGTCATTTGCGAGGGGGTGTACCCCAAGCAATATCAAAATTTAGTGAGGGGTTTATCACCCCACTAAATCCCCTAGCTAATCAAGCCTTTTCTTGTAGTGCATGTTCCATACAATTATCCCGATGAGTCACTATACTTAGAAAAGGGGTGAATGAGGAACCTATCCAACCACTACGTGACATCAAATATTTCCTGATTAAACAAAATTGATGCCCAATAAGGCTGTGTTGAAAATAACCTAGTGTGTATGTCGAATTGTCGAAGGAGTTGCCTCGACAAGATTTCTACTTAGACCTATTTTTGTAGTTAACAAAATTATGTTTTTTGGGCTTTGGTTTAGGGAGCAAGCAAACCTAAAATCTATAAATAGTGACTAATCCATATCATTGTATATCACTTGCAGTTGCAAAAGAATAAAATCACAGTTTGTGAACAGAGGGAAGCTCTACAAAAATTCTTCTCTTTTTCCCCAATTTTGTTCAAACCATAATTCATCTTTCTTTCTTCTCCATTGTCATTGTACAACACAGTCATCTTGTAACTAATGTTGGTTGATTCAGTTTAGTGAAAAACAAGAGGAAATTTGATCGATGTGATTGATTCTTGTTCATCAAGATTGATTCGGAATTCTCTATAAATTTAGTGTGATTCTAACAATTTTTACTTCAACTCTGCTATCAAATTTATCTTAAAGATTGTTAATATTTGACATCAGTATGTTGTGAGATTCTTTACAACCTTAAAGAATATTTTTTAGAAAATGACGAATTCAAATATTTCATACGTTTAAGAAGGAGATTAATGTTTATACCATCCGTCTAACAAAATATTAAGCTTGTAATGATGCAAAGTACTAATCTTTTGTAAATTCTTCTTTTGGAATCATCAATCTTCTATTAACCACTGCTAGTGAAACTTTATTTACTAGATAATATCTTCTTCTTCTTTTCTATTTTTTTTTCCTATTAGTACTAAAAAAATTAATGATTATCGTGAAAGCTAAATAGAGTTTGATATACTCAAATGAAAATGAAACAGAAACTGAAACAAAAAGAACGTTAAAGTTAGAAGTTACACATAAATACAACTTATTAGAGAACACAATTTTAATTTATTAAAATTCCCAAAATATCTTTCTTCTTATCTCCTCCCTTTGTCATCTAGTCATTTATCATGTGAAATTAATAAAAAGCTTCACTCTTAAATAAAACATTTCCATTTATTTTTCAAATAAAAACATATTTCATTAAATAAAAAGGAAAAGAGAGAAAACTGAGGAAGAGTATGTGCAAAGCTGAATATGTGATAGAGTAGTATGTACAAAGGTTATATACACCTCTGACACAAGTCACAACATGCAATTTCTTGAGAGAGAAAGAGAGAGAAAGTGTAAGCGATGATCATGGAGAATTCTTCAGCATCAGCATTTTTTGATGATATTCCTAACAACATGAACCAGGAAAGTTACATAGTTGATTTCCCTTTCTCACCTGCTTTACCATCATGCAGTGTCTTTGACATTCCACCACCACCATCACCACTGTTTGATTATCATAATGTAAATGATGCTTCTTTTGCTGGTAACATGGACTTGTTGATTTCGGATGATTTCGACAATTCTTGGTTCTCAAACTACAACTTCGAAACTGGCACGTCAGAATCACTACCTGCTGCCACCCAAACTGACATGCAGCTGCCTCCTTTGCCGGTTCTGTCCCCCACCGCGAATCCGGCTGCTCCTGTCTCGGGTTCCTCTTTGAATACTTCGTTGTGGAATGAGGCTGGTGTTGTTGCTAACAAACCAGTTGCTGCGGTAGCTGAGAATGCTGAGAATGGAGATGGAGTTAAATTTGTTGAAGGAAAAAATGCTAGAGGTGAAGCTGAGGATAGCGATGGTGATCGTCGAATCCAAGTGGTGGAGAATGGAAATGATCAAACTCCGGCTAAGAAACCGTTAGTAGATTAAAATTAATTTGAATTATTTATTTATTTTATTAATTCAAAATAAATACTATTATTGATAAAATAAAATAAAAAATAGAAAAGAAAAGGAATCAGACCGTTACAGTCAAAGAGAAGATTAAGGAAGATGATGAAATATGTTTTTTTTGGAAATGAAATACTAAAAGAAAACGTTTAGGTATTGTTTGAATTCAGTGATTAAATCTATGTGTTTGGTAGGTTGAAACAAAAGAAGAATGACAAGAAGAAGAAGCGAACAAGAGTTACTTTCATGACAGAAACTGGATTTGATTACTTGGACGATGGTTATAGGTGGCGCAAGTATGGCCAGAAACCTATCAAGAACAGCCCTTTTCCAAGGTATCATGAAATCCATCAATGAAATGATCTTAGGGTGCAAGTTTCTCCAAATAAGTTTGCATAAACTTGCACCGAGATCGAAGACTCATTTAAAATCAAATTTGTAATAACTATATTAGTGATTACACATATTCTTGATTGAATTAAACTTACATTTCTCTATATCTTGTTTGGTTATATGCAAAACAGGAGTTATTACCGCTGCACCACCCGGGGTTGTGGCGTGAAGAAGCACATAGAGCGTTATGCGGCTGAGCCTTTGTTGCTGCTAACTACTTATGAAGGCAAGCACACCCATCTACCTCCCAAGGTGACGCGTGCTACACACCTTGAAATCATGAATGATGCTATTGCTGATGGTGTCCGGAAAATCCACCATAACCAGATCAAAACTAATGGACTTGGTGTTGCGGGAAACCAATTCGCAATGTCTCAGCTACAACAACAGCAGTTTCAGAACCTGAATCAGAATGTGATTCTTCACCGACCTGCATTGTCACCTTTGTCAAACAATAATGATTATAATAACTCCTTCAACATTGCTCCAACAGTGAATGTTAACTCTGCTAACAACATTCCACCTTTGAATGTTGTTAACTCTTCTTCTAATCACAATTCTCAACTTTTGAATGTTGTTAACTCTTCTGCTGCTCACAATTCCCCACCTTTGAATGTTGTTAACTCTGGTGACAAATTCATCAACTCTTCGACAACATTTAGTGAATTCCTTCAAAATCTAGGTGGATGCAATTTTTCAATGTTCACAGATGATTTGACGAGCAACAATGGTCTTCTCCAGGACATGATTATGCCAATGAAATGAGAGGAGCTGGAGCTGGAGCTGAAGCAGTAGCATGAAGATGATGATGCTTATGTTTTTCATGTTGGATTAAAAGATACTTAGTTATGGTACTAATTAATTTCATTTGAATTGTAATAATTAATTTATGGTAGCCAATAATTTAAGGTACTGAAACTTATATAGGATGATGATGATGGACAACTCTGTGAGTCTGTGCCTCTGAGTTGCTTGGTTTGGCATTTTATAGTTTCCTTTTATATAATGACTATATATGCCCTAATTATATTATGATGAATGTGCTGCGTTTATCTTTTTATTCTTAATTTCCTTCTATGGTGTTATTTATTCTCAGTTATAACTAGATTTTTCTCTCCATTTTGGTGCTTCTCCTTTTCTAAAATTACTATTTTTCTCTTCTTTTTATCATGTCACTCACATTAAACTCTTTCTCCATGGTTAGATTGTTTTTGATCATGATGCAAAAAGTACCTACTTTTTTAGGGTTAGGGTTTTTTTCTTACTTTAATTGTATCAATGTTTAGCTTGCATGTGTGATCAATATCTTCTTTTCCAACTATATAGAGACTTTAACTGGAAAAGAAAGACAAGAACACGTAAGTTGATTGATTACAAGAGATGAAAACATTGTACGAAAAGAGTATTATAAGTGCCACATAACATGACACAATACATGAGGTATGAAAAAAGTAAGCAACATGATTACTTGAGTTGTAAGTACCATTTAGCTTTTTGTATATATGATGCTTTTTTTTTCTCATCATCTTACTCTATAAGCTATATACAAAGATATTCTTCTACCATTCAATCATGATGTGTTACCTAAATGGGAAATAGCAAGAGCATGACAAAACATATAGATATATCTTATGTCTTATATATAGCATAGAAATAATAATAATAGTAGAAGCCATTCTCTATATTATACATCTAGTTTAGTATAGTTTTTGTTGCTTTCTCTAGGGCATATGGTGCCCAATAAGATCTAGCACATGCTTCACTTACCAAGCAATAATATTGAAGTTTTCAAAATACCAAACTTGCAATATGATCATTTTGCATTAAGTTGTTTTGGGATATGGAGGTCTGAATTGTGTATATTTTTTGATAAAGTATCTCTGGTGCAAGATTCTAGTTTTAAAATATTTTTGTTTTTTCTTTAAAATGGTTAGGAGTATGATGTTATTTCACTTACCAAGCAATAATGCTTTTAAACAAAAAAAGCCTACCAAGCAATAATATTAAAATTTTTAGAATATCAACTTGCTTATGATGATTTGGTTATGTGGAGATAGAAAATGACTGTATATTCAGGTTTTTTTTTTTTGAGTGAGTTATTGAATCTATCTTTTTGAGATATATCTTTCGTCTCCAAGTTTTTTTCTTTCTAATTTACCATGTTGGTCTAATTGATTTTTTTTGTGTAAAATAGTAGTGCACAAAGTTAAAAATAATCCTAAAAATGAAAAGGTTTTGTATCAAAAGAACAAATTTAAGTTATTAAAAAATTAATGCACAACTGACGAGGCAATTTTTCTTTTTAATTTTATTTTTTAATGTGTTCTCTTAGGATATATATTAGTATTTTTCATTTTAATACTACTTCAAATTCTTTTAAAAAGAAGTACTTGCGTTAACAAAATTGATGTATTTAAACTCTATATTGACTCAAATACATCAAAACTTTATTTGTATATTTTGAAAATTTTGCATTCAACACTTTAAAAATTATCGTTTCTAAAAAAAGAAATTAATCTACCAAGGTATTAAAAAATATCAAACTAATCTTTGTTAAAAAAACAACGCATCTTCATTTTGGGGTAAAAATTGATTCTAAATTTATTTTTTCTAACTAAATTTTTGGTTGGTCAATCTATAATTACTCATTTCTTTTACCGTTTACAAATTTCTCCCGCTATTATGAAACATACTTCCATTTCAATCAATTATTACCTTTTGGTTTTTCAAAGCTAACGAGTTGTTCTGCACACCCAAAAAGCGAACATCCGTTCTATATTATTTGCTGCCCCTTTGCTTCTATCAATTTCAATCGGTTGAAATATCAGATATAATATTAAATATAATTTAAGTTAGATATGTTGAGATATTAGATATAATAATTTAAGTCGGATATGTTAAGATATTAGATATAATATCAAATATAATCTAAGTTGAGTAAACTCAAACTCAATTAGGATTGTATATAAATAGTCATAGTTTGTATTATTATTTGTACAATTCAAGGAAATAATATAGTCCTTAGTTTCTTAGTATTCTCTCTTTCTATACCCACTAAAAGTGCCTCACGCACTAACAAATTGGTATTCAAAATTTCTGGTTATTATTCTTGATCGTGTTTTCAAGAACTTCACATCAGAGATCGTATTTTCAGGGCAAATGAATCAACCATTGCGAAGATGGTTGGTGATAAGGGCATTCTGAATTCTCTTCCAATGCTTGACAGCAAAAATTGTACCCGGTGGAAAAAATAGATGAAATCCTTGTTTGGCTTCCAAGATACCCTAGAAGTGGTTATCGATGACGTTCATACGCTGGTTGTAGATGCAACCGAAGCACAAAAAATTGTTTGCAACGAAGTCAAGAAGAAGGATTGCAAGACTGCTTATTGCATTCAAACGGCGGTCGATGCTACTAATTTTGACATAATCTCTCATGCTGAAACAGTGAATGAGGCATGAGATATTTAGGTCAAGTATTATGAAGGAGGTGAGAAAGTCAAAATTGTCAAGTTGAAGACCTTGCATCGACAATATGAATTGTTGTCGATGAGAGGACGAAAAAGATGCAAAATATGTGCGGAAGGTCCAAAAACCCGTCCATCTCATGAAGGATTATGGTAAAACCATAATTGATAAGATGATTATTGAGAAGGTAATGCGTACATTGGCCTCTCACTTTGATCACGTTATCGTAGCTATTAAAAAATCCAATCAACTTAAAACCTTAAAATTGGAAGATTTGGTTGGTTCGTTGGAAGCACGTGAGATTAGGATTGTCGAAAGAAAAGAAGTTCAAGACTCGATACAATCTCTGCAGGCTCAATCCTGGAAAAAGAATGGTGGTTCCAAAAAATTCAAAGGCAAAGTCGACAAGTCTCAGGGAAAGAAGTATTGGTCGAACCCTCACAAGCATCAAGTCGAAGATAGAGCTTATAAATCCTCGAAAAGAGGAGGAGAAAACTATCAAAAGGACAAAGAAGATAAACAAGGTGTGTAGTGTTATAATTGTGAAAAGTAGGGTCACTTCGCCAAGAATTGTTAGTACGGGAAACACAAGGGATCGACAAGCAAGGACGAAGGAGCGAACCTTACACGCCAAGATTCAAATGATTATGAAGGTATGGTTGTTATGATTGCAGTTACAGATAACCATGTCAAATCCAAGATCTCGTTACTCAATTCTGGCTGCTCAAATCACATGACCCGTCAAAAGGTGTGGTTGGCAGATTTCAACGAGTTGACAAAGAGCAAGGTAAAACTTGCTGATAATAGTTCGTTGCAAGTTGAAGGTACTAGAAACATATTTTTTCAAATGAGTAATGAAGGGAAAGTTATGATCAAAGATATGTTTTATGTATCTGGAATGAAGTGTAATCTGCTAAGTGTTAGACAACTGGTCGAAAAAGGTTTCTCCGTTGTCATGAAAGATGGAGCTTTAAAATTGTTCAATACCAAAAACAATTTGGTCTTGAAATCTCCTTTGTCGAAGAACAAGATATTTAAGACCATGATCAGTTCGACTGAAGTACAATGTCTAAAAATTATTTTCGACCACAAGAATAGTTGGTTATTGCATTTGAGATTTGGACATTTGAATTTTTTTATCACTCAATCTGCTGATTACTCAAGATATAATAACTGGTATCCAAGTCTTGAGATGCTTGACACACTCTGTGAAGGTTGTTTAGTCGGAAAGCAATCTAGAAATTATTTAGTTTCGAATATACCAATGAGATCATCCTGCATACTCGAAGTGATACATTCAGATGTATGTGGCCCGTTCGAAGAACATACCATTGGTAGAAACATGTATTTTGTTTATTTTGTCGATGAGTTTAGTCGAAAGCTATGGATCTATGTGATCAAGTGAAAGGACGGAGTATTTGAAATCTTCAAGAGATTAAAGATATTTGTCGAAAAGTAGAGTGAGAAGAAGATCAAAGTTTTGCGAACAGATGGAAGTGGTGAATACACATCCAAGATGTTTGAAGATATCTATGCAGAACATAGTGTCGATCATGAAGTAACTGCTCCTTATACGTCTCAACATAATGGAATTTTAGGAAAAAAATAAACAAAACCATATTAGATATGGCGAGATGCATGCTAAAGTAGAAGAATTTTCCCAAATCTTTATGGGGTGAAGCTGTTTCAGCTGTAGTTTGTATCCTGAACAGGTTCCCTACCAAGAAATTGAAGAACAAGGTTCATGAAGAAGTGTAGAGTGGTAAACGACCATTAGTCATTCATCTGAAGGTCTTTAACTCAATGTTTTACAAGCATGTTCCTGATGGGAGAAGATAGAAGCTTGATGACATGACTGAAACTATGATTTTGTTACGATATCATAAAATTGGTGCATACAGGTTATTCAATCAAATTAATGAGAAGATTTTGTTGAGTCGAGTTATTGTGATAAATGAAAATTATACCTGGGATTCGAATTATAATGATGCAATTAACAATTCATTGATGAACTATGGTTTCGACGAAGAAACTGATGAAGTCAAAGTCGAAGAAATTGCAAATATTTCAGTCAAAGCCAAAGCAGTTGCTGACATTCTCGGCACTGTCAAAGCTATAGAGGGTGGGGATAGCACAAGCCAAAGACCTTAAAGAACTAGAGTTCGTCCAACTAGACTTCAAGACTATGAAGTAATTGATGATGAGGAAGTAACACCAGATGGAGAATTAGTTTATTTTGCTTTACTTACAGGTGTTGAACCAATCAACTATAGTGAGGCTTTGAAGAATAAATAGTGA